TTTCCTAATCACTCTCCTATACAAAGGCCTGACTGTGCCTCCCCACCAAGATCACATAGCTCTCTCTCCTAATGAGGCTCAGTTCTAAAAGTTAAAAATAAATAAATGAGATGCATTTATCCTTTCTGATTTACTCTTAAGGACTCTAAGGAAGGGAAACAGGATCAAGTGAAAATAAAATGCTATAACTCTAGTTCACATCTAAATCTAGTCTCAGGATGACAGGAATGACTGAAATGATATTTTAGGAGAAACTATTAAAATTAATATACCCAGCTTAATGCTGCCAGTCTCCTAAGTTTAAGCAATTCTCATAATAAATTAATGTCCCCAGACTCGCCTTATATTTTTCACATTGTTTTGTTTTTGTTTTTGAGAGAGTCATGTTCTGCAGCCTAAGCTGGCCTGGAGCTTATTAGCTCAGGGTGGCCTTAAATGTACAACAATCCTTTTGCCTCAGCTCCCACTCCCAAGTGCTAGGGTTACACACATGAGTTAGGATATCAGGATTAAAATAAACTTCCCCTTCCAGTTCCAAAGAATAAACCCAGGGCCTTGTGCACGCTAGGCAAGCAATCACCACCAAGCTGCATCTTCAGCTCCATTTTGGTATTTCTAAGACCTGGTCTCAGTAAGTTGCCAAGGTGGGCCTTAGACTTGTCATCTTCCTGAATAGCTTGTGAACAGCTGAGATTACTGGCCTGCATCACTCAGCCTGTATGAGGAGTTTCTAGGTCTTTAAGGAAAAGGCAGCACCCTCTGGTCTGGGACCTGCAGTGTTTTCCATGGCCTCTGAGACTTCTTGGTTTGACTTTGCCACCTAGGACTGCTTCCTCAGTCTGTAGTCTACACACATTGGTGAGCAGTCTGTTGAGGGAGAGTCTTAGAGACAGATTCTGTTACTTCAGGCTACTTCCCAAGTCTCCCAAACAGAAGGCCATCATAACTGGCTGTCAGGGGCTGCTGATGATGACCAATCACTTCTTCCCTTAGCTCCCTCTGTCTTAATGTCAGTCTTGTTTCTCCAGTTCCATGGCCTCACAGCCAATGGCTACACAAACAGCATCTCCCCTACCACCTCTTAGAAATGGAAACTCTCAGGTAGCATCATCCTATTACTTTATACTGGGCCATCTTCACTAATGCATCCTCCTTCTAGAGCTATCACCTGCCATAAAAACACCATAGCTGACTATGTCTTCTCCTTGTCTGCTTTGAATGGCATAGCAGAGTAATTCCTTGTCAGGTCCTCCTTCCAAAGCCTTTCAAAGGGAATTCTTATTTTAACTCGGAATAAGCACACTAGTCAATTACAGCCTCTTTGGCTCTCAACAGAGCTACACAAAAGAAAAAAGTACCTTCTAAAAGCCATTAGGGACTTTTTTCTTATTACTAAAGCACTGAGAACACATACTATTTCATGGAGCCAAGAAGATCTATTTCCCTTCTGAAGCAGAGCAGCAATCGGCAGGCACTAATTAAATTCCTACAGCAATGAGCAATGACTTTTTCCAGCGTTGTCTCTCCATGACTAGCTGAGGAGCTTGACTTTATCCAATCCTCCCACAGACACTCTTGATCCCTGCTCTGTACATAGCTGTTAGTGTGCTGCACAGTAAGACTGCGCTCCTTAGTACCCAATGTGGTTAGCTTACTATTTAATCAGTCAGTTCCTATCTTCTTAATGACTTTATTTTACTTTCTTAAAATAACTTTGAGGTCTGTGAAATAGTTCATTCTGAAAAAATACCTGCCACCAAGTCTGACTACCTGAGTCTGATCCCTGGGACTCTAAGGTGAAAGGGAGGAATCAACTCAAGCAAGATGTCATCTGGCCTCCATATGCTGTGTGCATGTAATTTAAAACTCAAAATAAGCAAGGCTTGGTGGTGCACACCCTTAATCCCAGCATTTGGGAGACAGAGGCAGGCTGATCTCTATGAATTCAAGGATACCCTGGTGTATATAATGAGTTCCAAGACAGCCATGGCTACATAATAAGATCCTGTCTCAAAATACAAAAATTAAAATAAGAATAATTTCATCATTAAAATATAAAAACAATTGGCTGGTTTTCTAAATATTTTCTTTCATTTCCAGGGTTTCACAGGGTTTGGGTTCTCATGTTCTAGTTGACACAGCAATTCCAAAAGGTGGTCAGCTGCAGTTACACAGGGTGTATTGATGCTGGCGTGGTATGCCAATTACACCCACAGTACCTTGATTTGGTTGAAACATAACTGAAAGATTCTACTTTCTGGAACTAATTATTTAAGAGTAAAAGAAGAGAAACTACATATATTAGAGGATGCTCTGTCTTGTGTTCAAAGGTACTTAATTCCCTTCTACACATCCACCTACTGCCTGCTAAACTGTATCCCTTAGAGGTTGTATTCCCAAAATGCATGAACTGAGTCCTAACCACTGTTTCACTTTCAGAGTCAAGAAGTTTTTACTGGTGGTGGATTCAGCATGGAATTCTGACTGTCATTATTTTGGTGCTGGAGCATCCAGCTTCTACTGAACACATATTCTATCATTGGCCTACTGCTCAGCCTCAAAAGTATACCCCACCACTTAGGAGTTTTAATTAGCCATTACTCTGGTTCTGACAGACATGACCTCAAATATCTTATGCTCTCCACCGATATACCAATCACTTTGCACAGAACAGCAGGAAAATGCTAAAACCAAAAGTTATGAGTATTTTCTGGACTGTAGTCTATGCCACTAACTAAAACTACTTTTGGCAAGTCTAACCACAGTGGATCCTGTGTCAGAGACTCAGATGAGGAATTACACTAACTGGTCTCCAACCTCTCCCAGCGCCCAACTCTAAACTGAGGAGGAATGGAAATGGGTACTGTGGCAGAGTGGTGTTTGTTAACACTAGAGGGAGCTATACTCATGCCATCATAGGGTATTCAGGTCTCCCCAGATTTATGGTCCTGGAGGAGGGGGGAGAATGGGTGTGCTGGACAAGCATTCCACCACAGCATCCCACAAGCACCACCATCCTTGAATACCAGTTCCATGTTTATGATGTAGCTTGTAGGTGAGGGGCCAGCTGACATGAATTCAGTTGTAATTAACATCACCATTCTTCTATTGGATTCAATGCTTCTCTCCCTCTATTTCCTTGGTTTGAGAATTTTCCATTCATTGCTAGTGTTTGTTTCATTGGTTTTTGAGACAGGGTCTTATGTAGCTCAGGCCAACCTCAGACTCACTGAGGTTCTGATGCTTCTCCTTCCATCTCCTAAATTCAGCTTACACCGTGTCGGCCTTACTTTGGTTTTTGCTGTCGTTGGTTTGAAAAAAAATTTTTTTTTTTTTTTTTTAAGAAAAAGATGGAGAAAGAAATTCTTTAGGAACAGCTTAAAGCCAACTTGATTCTCATGGAATTAAAATGAAGCTCAAATAGCCTGTGGTACAAGTCAGGAACGAGTTTTGAGATGAGGTAAAGGAAGGGAAGCAGGGAAGGGAAAGGAAAGGACAGGCACACCAAAGATGAAGCGGCTCTGATCATCATACACACTGTGATGGCTAATCTTGACAACACATGGAATCAACTAAAACTAAAGCAGTTGGGCACGCCTGTGAGGGATTTTCCTTAACTAGGTCATCTGAGGGGGGAACCCCACGACAAACACAGATCATCTGATGTGATAAGACCCACCCTAAACCTGGGTCACACCTTCTTGTGCCAGGCTATATGAAGGACATGAAAAAGGGAAGTGCTTTCTCTTTGCCTGCTTACTCTCACTCTCACCAGCAAGTTCATTCCTTTGCTAGTACCAGAACCTACTTCTTTGGGATTCCAGTGTATACTGAAGATCAGCCAGGATATCCAGCTTCAAGGACTGTGTTAGGATCCGTAAGCAAGCATCTCTACGGCCAGCCCCAAGGGACCTGACAAACCAGATATCAGGCTTCAGAGAGAACCTACAGACCACCTGAAACCACCTGCGCATGCTCCAGGTCACCTTATAAGAGAACTCGCACCACCTCCAATCTCTTTCCCTCTCTCTCTCTCTCTCTCTCCTACCCTGCCCAGAGAAGTCTCTGTGACCCCTTCCCCCTTTCCTCAATAAACTTCCCACATGGAACCAGTCATGTGGTGTGACTTGTAAACCCGCTATGTGACTTTGCTGCACAATCCCAACAGACTGAAGGGCTATCTTGAACTTTCCATCAAGAGATAGCCAGTTGGACCAGATGTTCCACAGCCTGTAAGCAACTCTAATAAATACCCCTTTAATATGTATAAATTCAGTCTTTCTGCTCCTCTACAAAACCTTGCCTAATAGGCATGCACACCCTCTCTCCCTCTAGAAAACACTCCTGGCCTGGAAATCGTGTGACCATCACCAAGCAAGGGAATCATCAAAAACCTGTTTGTTTGTCTTTGCCCAGAGGAACAACAGCACGTTAACCTGTACAGTGCAGGAGACAGAGACATGCAAGGCCCAAGAGCTCCTTGCACTTCTGTCTCAGAGATTAATGTGATTCAGAACAGCCAGGTATCAGCAGGCAGACACCAACTACCTGCTTTTAGGCTGCTCCTGAGTAAAACAGACTAGAAGTAACCTTGGAGAGCAACTCTGTGGGTGAAGAGATAAAAAATGAACTAGATCAAAATAATTTTTTAAATGCAAACTCAAACCTCTAGAGTATAAAGTAAAATTCACTAGGTTCAAATCAAGTATCAAAGTAGCCAGGAAATGTTACTCTTTGTTAAATCATGAATTTCAAATACTCAAGAAGATCAATGGACAAACGGATGGATGGATGGATGGATGGATGGATGGATGGATGGATGGATGGATGGATGGATGGATCTAGGGATCTCCCCCAATACCTCTCTCTGACATTAAAATATTTTGCTATCCTTTCATGAAAAGCAGGAGGAAACATAAAACTTATAAAGTGGCAACCTGCTTCTTCCCTCACTAAGGGTATCACTAAAAGACTTCTACGTCCCCGGGCATCATACTGACCTTTAATATGTTTCGGCCATCAAATGATTCTCTTTCCTTGAAGATATATTTGCCATCTGCTGTGTAGAGATTGTACCTGCCTTCAGCTGTAAATAATCCAAAGAAAGTGTGAGAAGAACCTGAAAAGTTTGTTTGTACCTACCCTCTTGCGTGTCTACAGGTCCACATGCTGACTAGCAAACTTTTTACCTCCTGTTTAGAAAGCTGCACAAGGTAGGGGAAAAGCAGCTAAGAGTCAATAGAGGACGCTTCCCTAGCTGCAACCCCCAACTCCTTGTATGTATTTTCATTCATTCGGCATTCTCCAAGCACTGGGTAACTAAGGAGCTCCACCACGGACCGCCGTTCTCCACTAAGTCACCTTTGAGGTTCTACAACCCCCAAATAAATGGCATGTTGTTTTAATTGTATTAGAATACACAAAAGCTGGGGACTGGAGAGATGGCTCAGGGGCAAAGAGCATTGCTTGCCCTTCCTGAGGTCCTGATTTCAATTCCCAGCAACTACTGGTGTGAATGCAGACAGACATTGTATACATAAGAAGTAAATAAATCTTAAAAAAAAAAAAAAGAAAAGAAATATGCTTGCTTCATTAAAAAAAAAAAAACCACACACACACAGAGAAGCTCACAATAGACTATTCAAAATTTCTGGTGTCCAGGCTTTAGGTTGACTCCCTAAGAACTCCCTTCCAAATTCAGGGGAGGGGTATTACCATTGAAGCTATCCTTACATCCTACACCGAAAGACAGCAAGTCCATGACCTTGGCCTACGCAAAACTATACTCTAGCTAACTAAGTTAAATTGGGTTGCATGTCCCAAAAGATGTCCTTAAAGGACAGCCAGAAGATTATCAAAGGGAACAGACAAGAGAAAAAAAAAAAGTAGCATATCTTTTCATGTCCTTTTCAAGTAAAAATTTCAATACAGGGAAAAGAAAATTCAAAGGACCCTCAAGAATTATTTAACTTTCAGCATGTTTTCTGACTGGTAACCCTTTCCTGCCTGCCAACAGACCATCTGCAAGCATTTCTATTTCTACTCTTTCCTGCCTACCTACCGACCACCTATAAGAATCCGTATTTCTAGTCTTTCCTGCTTACAGACAATCTACACGCATTCCTGTTTCTACTTTTCAGTATCTCTCATATTGTACAGGTCTGAAGATCCCAGATCAGAACTGAAGAAGTTGCCCAGAGTTCTAAAAATTCCATGAGCTATCTGTGTGGGAACTCCTGACCTAGCTTGCATGGCCAGTATACTAAAGAAGATGCCAGTCTCAGGCATACCCCTCAGCTTACAGGAAAAAAAAAAAAAAAAAAACAGACATGGTAGAACTCTCCAGCACTTGGGATATAGAAGCAGGAGATCAAAAAAGTTCAGGGTCATCTTCCTCTGCATGGCAAATTTAAGGCCAGCCTGGGTTACATGAGATCCTGTCTCAAAAATACAAACAACAAATAAAAACAGCTTCCCTGCTATGAACAAAGAACTTAATCAGTTTGGAAAAAAAGTAAATGAATACCCCCCCCCAAAAAAAAAAACACAACAAAAAACCTTGTTAAAAAGTAGAAACTGTGGTAGGAAGATGCTCAGTCAGTAAATATGAGCCATGCAAGTATGAGGACCTCACTGAGCTTAACCCCCAGAACCAGCACTGTGGAACACTTATACTTTAGCCCAAAAGAAGTAGAGATAGGAGGATCTGGAACTCACTGGAGAGCCAGATTATCTTACTGAGTTATAGGCACATGGGAGACCATCTCAAAAAACAGGGTGGATGGCACTGAGAAGGGGGCAGGGCAGGGAGACTGAGGCTCTGCACTGTTTAGGTTGAGTTTACATGGGCATCTTAAATCCTTTCTAGGGGAGAGATGTTAAGGAGTAGAAGTAGGGCCTATGCATACCAAGCAAGGCCTTTACCCTAAACTGCTCCCCAGCCCTCAGCTCATATTTTTGTTTGCAAAATCTTACAGCCCCATATGTAGCAGAAGTAAGTGCATGCCCCTGACACTTCCACTGGGTTCATTACAACAAAGGCATATCAGAGGTTTGTGGCTGCCACTCATTTAAGGATCTAGCTGGTCACAGAGGCCTTGCTGATCATAGCTCTGCCACAGCTCCGGGGGAACTTACCGTTGGGGTCTTTTCGGAGGAGTGTGTTCATGACAGTGGCATGCAGCTTCACACTGCTCCACTCCTTCACTATCAGCCCCAATGCCTGGAAGCGCTCAAGTACTCGGTCAGCCAGTTCCTGCAGCCTGAGGTTGAAGCACCAAAATCTTAGTAAACTCCAAACCCTGAACACCAATTAGCACGAATGGAGTCTGTGCTCTGTGCCAGTCATGCAAAGCCCTGCTCCAACAGGGGAAGAGGCTATAGCCCCACCAGAACTCACTGTATGAGCAAGAAGGCAACCTTGGAAACAAGTCACTGCCACAAGCCTGGGCACCCAGGTGACTGAGGTAGGGAGTCATAACTTTGTTATTTTGTTTGCGACACAGATCTCACTATGAAGCATTGGCTAGCCTAGAATACAGAATATAGAATAGCCTAGAACTATGCAGACCAGACTGGCTTCAGACTCACATAGATCAGCCTGCCTTTGCTTCCCAAGTATTGGGATTAAAAAGACATGTGCCACCATGCCTGGCAGGATCAAAAGTTTGAGGCACACATGAGATAAACAGATAATTCCAAGGCAGCCCAGGTCACAAAACAAAATCCTGGAGAGGGGTATAAGGAGAGGAAAAGAGATATCATTGCAATACAACATGGTTTTAGGAGCATAAATGATTCTGCATGTTCTTTTTTTTTTTTTTTTCAAGTCTTTATTTTTTTAATTTTTTTTTATTATTAGTTACATTTTGTTAACTCTGTATCCCAGTTGTATCCCGCTCCCTCATTGCCTCCCAATCCCACCCTCCCTCCCTCATCTCCTCCCTGCCCCTTTCCAAGTCCACTGATTGGGGAGGACCTCCTCCCTTTCATCTGACCCTGTTTTATCAGGTATCTTCAGGACTGGCTGCAAAGTCCTCCTCTGTGGCCTACCAGGACTGCTCCCCCCTTGGGGGGTGGGGAGGTCAAAGAGCCTGCCATTGAGTTTCTGTCAGAAATAGTCCTTGTTCCCCTTACTGTGGGAAACCAATTGGTTACTGAGCTACCACAGGCTACATCCAAGCAGAGGTTCTAGGTTATATCCATACATGGCCCTTGGTTGAGTGTCAGTCTCATAAAAGACCCTGTGCCCAGATATATTTGGTCCTTGTGGAGCTCCTGTTCTTTCCACGTCACACTAACTCCCCTTCTTTCCTATGATTCCCTGCACTCTGTACGTTCTTAAAGGATTAATAAAGATTCACAGACAAACCAGAAAAAGAAGGGCACCTCAAGCAAAGAAAAAGCAGTCCATTGAGGTCCCCAAGGCATGCAAGGTCACAGCATGGACAGCAGTGTGCTGGTCACTGGACACACCTGTGGCAGGGAAAGCAGGGCTAGATATGAAGTCGTGGCCAGGCCGCAAGTCCAACTTTTCACAGGGAATGCTACGATACAATGGACACAATGTCCGCTTCTGAACTCTGACTCTGGCGAGTACAAAGTGTCCCACAGTGGAGAACAGAAAGGAAAAGGGCACAGGACCAGCTGTGGTTTCTGTGCTTGAGAAAGAACAGGCAATGCATTGGCTACCACACTGAACATGCTATTTTCTGAGAAACCACTTCACCCTCACAACACACCATTACCCCTCATTTACCAATGAAGGCACTAAGGAAAGGGAAGTTATGGAACTTGGGCAAGATCACATAACTATTAAGTAGTAAATCTAAGCACATACACACACACATGCACATACATGCATATGCACACATGGATGCGCACGCACACACTCCTTTAGGGCTGGTGTGTTGCTCAGTAATAGAATGTGTGCTTAGTACACACAAGGCACCAGATTCAATCCCAGCACTGAAACAAATTTTCTATTATTTAACAATGTCTTTCTTATTCTGTGTCTGAGTGTGTGTGAGAGAGAGAGAGAAAGAGAGAGAGCAAGCCAAGTGGGCTGACATGTGTAACAGTACAAGTGTGGAGGAGTAGTCAGAGTACTACTTGTGGCAGTCAGTTCTCTCCTTCCACCATATTGGTACTGGGGGTTGAGCTCCAGGTAGTCAGGCTTGGCTGCAAGCACCTTTACCTGCAGAGCCATCTCGCTAGAAAGGCTTATCTGTTCACTGTTGTCAGGGGATAGGGTTAATGCTGTGCCATTCTAATTTTGTGTGGAACAGGATATCAGGTCTGAAGGACAGACAGTTCAGCAACATGTGTCCAAGAACAGGCAGAAATACAAGCATGAAGTTCCATTTAGGCAGATGATAGGAATGTGGGACTGTCAGCTCAGTGTCCTTAACCTAGATGTGGTGACACAAATGCTTGGAAGACAGAAGCAGGAAGTCAAAGTCCTCCTCAGCTACATACTGAGTTTGAAGCCAGCTTGGACTACATGAGGCCTTGTCTCAAGTAACCAAGAAGATCAGTGAAAGCACAGGACAAGAGCAGCATGGAGGAAGACTAAGAGCAAGGTGAGAAACAGATATGGGTAGCCTCCTGGGACACATACCTATGAAAAGGACAGAGAAGAAACCAGAAGTCAGCTGGTAAGGATGAGAAAACAGAAAGAGGACCCCAGAGAGGCCAGGAGTACCAAGGGGGCACAACCAGAGGGGGACTTGTAGCAAAGCAGTTTCATTGCCACACCAGAGTCAGAAGTTTTGTGACAAAGGACAGAGAAGGAATCAGACAGGGAGGTAGCAAGAACACACCAATCTTACGAGAAAGAAAGGAAAAGAAATGGCAGTACTATGCAGGCCACAGAAGCAGTGCAGGCTTCTAAAAAGCCAGGAACTGAGGAACAAAAAGTATGTCACCCAGAACAGGTAAATGTGCAGTCCCAGGGTTCGTCACTACTACAGAGGTGGTGGTAGGGAGATGTACCTCTGTAGCTATTCTCTTAAATTGTTTCCCGTTTATAAAGACAGCATGCTCGTTAAGACACTAGGAAAGGAGATCGAGCATAACAAGGGAAACAGCTCTATAAACATTTCAGTGTTTATCTGTGGATGCTGATGTGATAGCCTCAAACAGGGAAGCAAAACACTGTGGACTATAAAGTAAACTGACAGTAAAATCAGCAGCATAAAGCACTTTGGGTTACTTATGGGGGCATTAGGGGGAGGTTATAGTTGAGCTGGGACTGAAGTAGGAGATGAGGACAAAATGCTGAAGAGTATTCAACACATCTATATTGCAGCTGAATACATAAATGAATTAAATAAGTATCAAATGTTAGCGAACATCTACTATAAGCCATGTATTATTTGATAAAGTGCTAGATTTAGAAAATCTAGTGCTCCCCAGTCTCAAGAATCTGACTACCTCCTTAAGGGATGGAGCTCAAAAAGGAAAGACAGACATTTGACATAGGCAAGGAATCAAGTTGAGGCTCAGAGAGAGTACACAGGATAGCAGGAGACAATGTTGAGGTGTTAACTCAGTGTCAGGCTGGAAAAACTGCAAAACTAGACTGGCAGTTATTAATTAATTCAAGATGTGAGGTGATGGGCAATTTTACCACAAAGAAATTCCATGGCATGCAGGTAAAGCTTCGAAAACCTGTGATAGAACTTCAGAGCGCCTATGCACGCGGACATGACAGTGAAGAACTACAGAAAAGACTCAGTTGGCAGTGTGGGACTTGACCCCAAAACCAAAAGACTAGACATGATGGCCTATACCTCTACTCCCACCACTCAGGAAGTGGAAGCAGGAGGATAGAAGTTCAAGGCCATTCCTGGTTTCATAGCAAGTTCAAGGTCAACCAGGGCTAGATGAGACCCTGTCTGAAAAACAAAACAAAAAGCAGAAACCTGCAGGATAGTGTAATGTAATTCTATGTCTTTAAACTAATGACATAAATAGTGACTCTTGGCACTTTTTACTCTGGGAAGTAAAACTGGGAAATCGGGGGTGGCAGATTAATTTTTACTTCATCTGTTAAAAACAAACTAACTAACTAAAAAGCCTGTCTGTGAAGGGAGAGAGCAACTTACAGATACTGATGCTGAGATGTGCAGTTATAAAATTTAACTTCAATACATACAAATACAACTCTCCTAGTTGCCAACTCTCAGCAACCACTTCTTATTTGTTTTTCTTTTCTTTTTAAATCATTTTTGTGTAGTAGAATGCCATTATGTTTGGGGGTCGGCTTTTTCTCCTGTCCCCAAGCTCCCAGAATAACAACTCATGAGACCCACTAAATATTATACAAATACTTGGGCCATACAGCAAGGCTCTTCTCTGACTCACTCATAACTTAAAATAACCCATTACACTACATTTAGCCACATGGCTCGTTACCTGAGATCAGGCACCATAAGTCTAATATTCCTCACATCTTGCTGGTTGAATCTTGTACACCTGGCTCTATCCCAGAATCCCTTCTGCCACCTATTTCCTGCCTCAGTAATAAGCCATAGATTGACTGATTGATTCAGCATTCTGCCTGCTTGTATGCCTACATGCCAGAAGAGGGCACCAGATCTCACTATAGATGGTTATGACCCACCATGTGGTTGCTAGAAATTGAACTCAGCCCCTTTGGAAGAACAGCCAGTACTCTTAACCTCTGAGACATCTCTCCAGGCCCTGGCCATAGGTTTATTTAATTGGCAGGTGTTGCATCTCTACATTACACAAAAGATTCCTTCTATACATCTGTCTATTTGTGAACATGCGCAGGCACAGATGTGTAGTTCAAAGAATAACTTGAGAAGGTGGTTGGTCCTAGGGATCTAACTTGGGTCCTTAGGCTTTGTGGCAGGAGCCTTTATCCACTGAGCCATCTCCCTTGGTTTTGCCTTTTTGAAAATCACCTTAGCCTCCTCTTGAGGGCTTAGAATACAGGAGTGTGCCACTAAGCCTAGCAAAATCCTTTCAAGCATGTATTTAGATGTTGCTTTTAAATTTGACAGGGATATTATTAGATCTCCTAGTGTGAATCACCTTTGTATTCCTGATATAAATTAGCTTAATCATCTCTCCACCCTCTGCTTTAAGAAAATTGCCAAATCAAGCAGATTTTACTTTTTGCACCCAATTATTGATTCCTACTGCCACTGCTCTAATTTGGGCCACCTTGTTTCGTTCAGACTATTTTAATGGCTTCTGAACACCCTACACCTGTTCCTACGGTAATGGCTCC